TGGCTGAGCAAGGCGCAGGGGCAACACCGAGGGTTGCGGTCCCGTTGCCGGTCCCCGGTCCGGTACGGGGGCAACACTGAGGGTTGCGATCCGCTGCCGGACACGGAAAAAGACAAAAGACAAAAAAAAAAAAAAAAAAGTTTGGCTGATTAAACAGAAGGGAATGGGAATGCGTTAGGTAATTGGAGGAAAGAAAAAAAATGTTTCAAAAATCTAGAACCTTTAGAAGATACCCACCTTCCACTTATTGTACTGTTATTGGTATTGCTGTTATACTAGATAAAAAGCAATAAACTTCTCACTATCTCTGACTTTAAAACCTTTTAAGTATATATCAGCAATGATTAGTTATAATGAAACGATTTTATATCCCTTTCACATGCAGTTTATGCAAAGGCAGAAGCATTATGCAAAGACTATGGGGAAACCAAAGGACCTGGACCAACAGTCAAACCTTCAGGACACTTGTTCTTTAGGAAACTTGGAAACCTTGTGAAGAATACCCTAGAAAAATGTCAGAGAGAAAATGGATTTATGTGAGTACGGCGTATTATTTTAGTAATATTATGTTGATTTAAAGTTATAATATTAAGATTAATATGGTAGTAATGTCACAGTTTCTATTAGTTTCTATTCCCTAAGGTTTTAGGTTAAATTGCATTTAGGTTGAGCATCAGTTTTCTCTTTAAATTGGTGATAAAGTTCAATTATGTAAAACTTAACTTTTACTCTATTTATTTTTTTAAAGAAAATGTAATTTTATTAATATTATCTTTTACATTCTAGGATGTTGTTGTGGAGCAGTTGGGAGGGAGGGGGAGAGAAGAAAGGAGGAGATACGGGATGGAAGAAGGAGGAAGGAGGAGGGGTGGGATTGAGGCCTGTGGCACCCCCCTCATTCCCACGGGAGACTGGGGGCTCTCGGCAGTGGCTTGGTCATTGCCAGACTGGGTGCAGATGATAGGAGGGTGTGCCAAGAGCCCTCACCCCCCACCGTTTCAGCTCAGGAACCCAGGGCCCTTCTTGTTGCGGTTTGGTGGTCGCTGCTGGACTGGTTGCAGGTGGGGGGGCATGGCCAAGGCCCCCCACCATCCTTGCTCGGGAGAGCCCAGGTTGCTTCCTGCAGCAGCTCAGTGGTTGCTCCTGGGCTGGCTGCAGATGTCAGGGAGTGTGGCCAAAGCCCTTGGTCCCCCCACCACCTGGCTCCAGAGAGCCCAGGGTGCTTCCTGTGGCTGCTCAGTGGTTGCCACTGGGCTGGCTGTGTGTGTTGAGCAGGGCATGACCAAGGCCCTCAGCCCCACACCACTGTGGCTCAGGAGAGTCCAGGGTGCTTCCTGCATCGGCTCAGTGGTCGCTGCCGGGCTGCCTGTGGGTGTTGAGGAGGCATGGCTAAGGCCCAAGGCTCCCACCACCCCAACTGGAAGAGCCTAGTGGTTGCAGCTGGGAATGCTGCACATGTCTGAGGGGCGTGGCCTAGGCCCTCATCCCCCACCCTCAGGATTGATTACGGGTGTCAGGGGGCATTGCTGAGGCCCCTGCCCCTCCCCGCTTTCTGGCTTGGTAGCCTAGGGGATTTTTGGTCCTTCTAGGTGTTACAGGTGTTCTTTGGTGAAATGAGAGCTTTACTAGTTAATATGAAACTTTGTCTCTGGTTGTGGGTACTTTGTTTTTTCTTCTATTTCTGTGTTGAAATATTTGCTGTTTCCACCATTTAAACTCTGCTTTGAAACTAACTTGTCCTTTGCTTACTTCTAAAATGGGGGAACTTCCTGTGGGGACCAGTACTTGAGCTCTGTGGTTGAGATAGATTGCTGCTTTGCTGCTGATTCCCTAGGGAAGGCTTTTTGTGCAGCTCAGGTTTTAATGGTTGACTTTATAGGTACTTCTGGTTCTCAAGAGATCCAGTGCACCTGGGTTGTTTAGAAACTCTGGTCTGGACCTGAGTCTTTTCATCAAACTGCACCCCATGCAATTCTATATTCCTGACCAGTCTCCTCTGAGTGGTCCTTCACTGATTGGGGTGCAAATCAGCTGTCCTTGCTGTGCCCCAGTGTTCTCCCAGTGGACCTGTCTCCCCCACCGCCCATGCTGCACACACTTCCTATGGGACAGGCCATGCGTAGGTAGGTCCCTTGTGATGACTCACTGGCCTCTGAGTGGCTCCTTTTTTCAGTTGTTGTGGCTCCCCACTCTTGGATGGGTCAATGGGAATCCTATTAGTGGTATTGCTAGTCCGGGTGCCACCACAGCCCTCTTCTCCCCTGCTTCCTCCAAGCAACTTCATCTGAAGGGCACAGCTGCAGCTTTTGCTGGCTCCCACTCTGTGCACTCAGCAGCTCCAGCCTGGATGCAGCTAGGACTTGAAATGCTTAGAGCGGTTTTTTCTTTCTCTCATCATGGCTTCTCCCACCTTCATGCACTCCATAGGTTCCCCTGAGCTCTAGCGGCCCCAACTTGGCTTTAGTTGCTTTTTTTTTTTTTTGTCTTTTGTCTTTTTCCGTGTCCGGCAACGGATCGCAACCCTCAGTGTTGCCCCCGTACCGGACCGGGGACCGGCAACGGGATCGCAACCCTCGGCGTCGCTCCCGCGCCTCGCTCAGCCAGTGAGCGGGAACTGGTCTGTATGTGGGATCTGAACCCTCGGGCCGGGACGCGCTTCCCAAGCGGCGCACTATCCAGTGCGCCACCGGGCCGGCCCCTTTAGTTGCTTTTATATAGGTGTAAATTGGTTGATTTCTGGGAGAGAGTGACGCTGGGGACCGTCTGTTCAGCCATCTTGACCGGAAGCCCTCTATTTCTGATGATGCATATATATAAGAAGATTTTAAAATTTAAACATGACTTATTAGCATGCTGTATTAGGACATTCCCATAGGGTCCTAATTTTCTCTTTGTTTCCCTGCCATTCTTTCTCCATATGTTATATGTGTGTATTTTCTTAACTCCTTTTGCATATTCATCTCATTTTGGCTTCAACTACCTATAAATCTCAGTCTTTCCTTGTGCTTTCAAACAGTTTTCCATTATTAAATCAGTGTTGTTCAAACTGCAGATCACCACTATGTAGGTTGGTAGAGTCAATCTTGTTCTTGCTTTTATCTCTTTACATTGTTTCTCTTACATTCTGAGTCTAGTCATACTGAGCTTTTCACTTCCTTGAACATGCTTAGTTCTCCTTTAATCACTTCTTTTAAGAAGAGTTACTGAAACCCCAGATTTGGGTTAATTGCCCCTCTTTTGTGTTTTCATGGCATTGTACGTTCGTCATAGCTTCAGGTACTTTGTATTGTAATTGACAGGTTTTCTTGACTTTCTTTCCTACTCATCTGTGATCTACATGAGGCAGAGAAATCTCTTATTCATCATTAGTCACCATCTTGAACAGGGCCTTGAACATATTAGACGTTCTAATAGTTACCAGATAAATTATTGAAGTGCTGTTTAACTTGTTTTTTACAGTTACTTTCAAAAAATTCCAGCAGAAGCCCCACAACTGGAACTCAAAGCAAATTATGGTCTTGTAGAACCTGTACCTTTCGAATTTCCTCCTACAAGTGCACACTGGACACCAGAAACATTGGCTGCATTTGATCTCACCAAAAGGCCCAAGGATGACAATGTATGAGATTGGGTTTTTCCTTCCATTCTTGAAAGTTTAGAAAGATGATTTAGAGTTAGTGTCTGATATTTGTCTCTGTTTAAATATATATATATATTTATTTATCTATCTATCTATCTAAAGGTTAAATTAGTAAATTGTAGTGCTTGGTATAGTCTTTTGTAGAATACTCTCCGAGATAAGGCCTTTTAAATGTTTTCTGATTTTCTGCATAATTGACTAACATTGTTTTCAACACATCTTGCCTTATTACAATTTGTCAGTGCTTCCTCTAAGGAAAGTGTGAGAGAAAAGATCTCATCCCTGTTTATATTACTGTAGAAATACTGTTTTTTGTTTAGCATATTGCAGGGTATTTGAAGATTTGACCTAATTTCAGCATTCCATGAATCATCCAGGAATAAATAAAAATGCTTTTATTTGTTTATACCTAAGTACATCTTGGCGTTCTAAATCAAATGGTAGATTAAGTGGAAACATGAGGTTTACCTACCAAAAGACTAAGGATCCGTGACAAAAGGAATGGGAATTATTTTGCAGCCACTGCGCCTTCCTTGAAGTTGGGTTGTTTTTATATAATTTCCTTCCCATACTAAAACCATTATTCCTTAAAATAACGATCTTTATATTCTGTTCGACCTCTAACATAATGCCCTAAGAGATAGCTGGTTACTATCACAAGTTATTTTTAAACATTAGGATTGGGGGCTGGTGGGTTAGCTCAGTTGGTTAGAACGTGGTATTACAACACCAAGGTCAAGGGTTCAGATTCCCATACTGGCCGGCTACCAAAAAAACCCAAAAACAAAATAATAAACTTTAGAGATTCACATGCGTAGACCTGTCACTCGGTTTCCCCCTCCTCAGAAAGAGTGTGGAGTAGGAGTACCATTCGCTTGATTTTTGACTACCAATCTAGGTTTTCATCTTCACTAAATGTTGCTTTCCGATTATGTCTTAAGTGAATTGACATGTAGCTTCTGGAATAGCTTTGTTAATGTCAGTGTTTGTGTAATTTAATATAGCATATCTTAAAAGTTTGAAGCAGAAAAGATCTAGTGTTTGTTTTCCAGATCTTAGTGTATGTATGTAAACTGTATTTTTCTTTCTCCTTAGACCAAGCCCAAACCAGAAGAAGAAGTGAAACCTGTGAAAGAGCCAGATATCAAACCTCAGAAGGACACGGGGTGCTACATCTCCTGAAATATTCCTAAAATACAATATGCACTTAGAATTTCTCCACTAGTAGATAAGATAAACCACAGAGCTTCAGTTCATATTTTTTGAAATGATTTCTCCGAAGCCTGTAGCATAATTATTGCATTCAGAGGGAATTTGCCTTCAGTCTATCTGTTCTTGATTTTTAATATAGCAGAGATGTTTCATGCTTTGTGTCCAAACTCTCCTTTTTTTTTTTTTTTTTTTTTTTTTTTTTTTTAAATAAGCAAAAATTTTTTTGGTTTTTTTTCCAAACTCCCTTTTTTTTTTTTTTTTTTTGTCTTTATCCGTGTCCGGCAACAGATCGCAACCCTCAGTGTCGCCCCCGTACCAGACCGGGACCGGCAACAGTATCGCCACCCTCGGTGTTGCTCCCGCGCCTCGCTCAGCCAGTGAGCGGGAACCGGTCTGTATGTGGGATCCGAACCCTCGGGCGGGAGCACCGCCGCACTTCCCAAGCGGCGCACTATCCAGTGCGCCACTGGGCCGGCCCCAAACTCTCCTTTTTAATCAGGACAACATGTGAAAGATTTTATTGAGCCTCTAAAGGGTGTATTAGGGATTCGGTCTTTTTTTCAAACTCTAGATAGTAATAAGTTCCAAGTAATACATTATAGGCCTGAATCATGTGGTTTTAGGTATGTTTTTCTAGCTTCACAAAAGTTTATTTTCCTTCTTCTTTGATCCTAGAAGAATGATAGGATTCAATTTTTAACAGAAACAGTTCTTCCCCCCTCACCATTGTGTTAATTGCAGCAGACTTGTTACATTCTGAGTCATTTACCTTTTCTGATAGGGAAAAGAAAAGTCATTTATAGTTAAACACCAGAAATCCTGCATACCAAATCCCTTGCATGTATTAGAATCTATAATTTACTCAAAACTCAGTGTTTATAGGTATGTGAGACCTTTAAGAACTTATCCCAATTCTAGTAGCTCTGTGCTTCATTCAGTAACCCTACAGTGATTTTTACAGGTACCTTTTCTAATGGGTTTTTTACTTAGAGGTCAGAACTTTGTAACAGCTTTTAATGTTTCTATATAAGAGAAGACAGTAGAATGGAAAATGTTTTCTGAAGAAGTCCAACATTGCATGATGTAAAGAAAAAACTTTAAACTTAAATGACATATGTTGTCCTGAATTACACTGGTAACTCTCTACTTCTTTCTTGAAGAAGTTATAGTCAAATGCTTTTGCTACCTGATTTCAGTGTGCATTGTTTTTATATGGTTTTCTAATATACATATCCTGTTAGAATTGTTTTGTTTTAGGCCAAAGGCCATAGCAAAAACTTAAGAGAACAAACATAGATACACAGTGATCTTAAAAAATTGTAATATTTGAAAAGGTCATAATATTTGAAACACTTTAGTATGTATACAAACTTGGGAAATAGTGAATGTGTAATACAGTCACACATCTATACGTTTATCTTTTGATTTTTCTGGGGTGATTGATAGCTAATTTTCCTATTATAAATGACAGATTCGTTCATTTAATAGATTTAATAGAAGTGTGTATTGAGAGCTTACTATGTGCCAAGCACTATACTGAGCACTTCCATAGATAAACTATTGAGTACACACAGCAGCCATATGAAAAATAAGAAAAATCTGCATAAAGTATTAAAATAGGAATATACATTTCATTATGAAGAATGACTAGATTATGCCTGACTGAATCAATAGTGTGTTCAGGACTGGCCAGTGAGCTCATTTGGTTAGAGCACAGCCTTGTAACATCAAGGTCAAGGGTTCAGTTCCCTGTACTGGCCAGCTGCCAAAAAAAAAATGAATCAATAGTGTGTTCAACTAAATAATGACTTAAATCATATATCATAGTTTACACTCCTTAAAAAAGTGACATAGAATCAGTGAGGGTTTTTTAAAAAATGTAGAAATGCTAATTACTGCTTGCAGTATAACATTTAATATTTGAAGCTGCAGTTTCCAGAATAATTATAACAGACATTTTTATTTGGCTGTCTGTAGAAAAAATATTTATTAAATTTTTTGTATTTTGTGTGATTCTTATTACCAAATAACTTGTCTGCAGTATGCTATTTACTGACAAAACTTTAAACAGTACTTAATGCCAGTTTTCTCTGCCTGTAGGACCTATTTACCTTAGGTACTAATGCTTATTAATCCAGTTACTAAATTTTCACATTGACATTTGCGTGGATTATTTATGTTACCATATATGAAAAGAGAACATGTAATATGCTCAGTGCTTCTGTAAAATGCAGTAAATATTGGTATTACTTTAAATCAATAGTTGGCAACTTTGACATGAGCAGATAATATTCTGTAGACTCAGCAGAGGTGACATTTTGTGACTAAAATATCTAATTATGTATAATATTTTTTGAAATGGTGTTGGAAATTTTGGTAAATTATCCGATATAAAGAATTTGTGTGAAGATTATAAGAGATATGTAACTATTTGTATTAATTATTGCACATATCTCATTCTGGGCAATGACAGCTAACATACTACTGCTAAAGATGGTGTTTGTATAGTGAGTTATCTTTTTATGAAAATAAAAGTAATTCTACTTATAATTTCATTGGAATTTTTGTTTTTTGATAAATGTTTTTACACTTACTAAATCATTAACAGAGTTAATACAATACAAAATCATAATTCTTTACAGTAATGTTTTAAAACACTTCTTGACCTGTTTGGTTTCTCCTTGTGTTTATTACTACCAATCACCTTTTAATTTCAAAGTAGGATTTTGGTCAGCCTGTTTATGTCTGATACATAGTATTTTCCAGTATAACACGGTATTTGTGTAGTATAGTAAGCTAAGCTAGTGAGCTTATCCTTATTGCTGTACAATAATCTGTAGAAAGCTCCGTGCTTTGGAAACTTGAGGTGGCATTTTTATTGCTATATAAATGTACTCAAAAATAAAACTGTATTCAGAAATATTTCTTTGTTTTCCAGAGTAATTCTGCTTTAGAAAATGCATTTGGCCCTCCGTGTCCATGGGTTCCACATCTATGCATGCAGCCAACCACAGATCAAAAGTATCTGGGGGAAAAAAATGGATGGTTGTGTCTGTACTGAACACATACAGACTTTTTTTTCCTTGTCATTATTCCCTAAACAATATAGTATAACAGCTACTTACAGAGCATTTCTATTGCTTTAGGTATTTTAAGTAATCTAGAGATGATAGAAAGTATATGTGAGGATGTGCATAGGTTACATGCAAATACTACAGCATTTTATATAACAGATGAGCATCCATGTATTTAGGTATTTGCAGGGCATCCTAGAACCAGTCTCCACCCTGCAGATACCAAGGGACAATTATACCGCATTTCTTACCCCTTTAACATGCATAAAACAAACTTGCAGTGTCACCAGACTACTGTAACTTTGTATCTCAAGACTTCTACTTGGCATTAGAATAATTTGCTTAAAATTTAAGTTTTTATTTAAAAATATTTTAGTAGCAATTTTAAAAGGAATTAAAATAGTTAATCTCGAAAGGGAGTTTATATTATAGAACAGAAGGCTATTTGTGCTTATCTAAAAGGCCAGAGCTATCACTTGTGCAGTTCAGTGTATCTAATGCCCATGATGTGCTTGAGATGGGTGTAAGCTCACAGGGTCACTCAGAGTGCTCCCCTGAGAAAGTGTTAGGTCACCCGGTTACCTGAATTTTGCTTCTCTAATGCAGAGTTTCTAATGCATAAGTAGTTTGCCTCAAGCTTTTGATTGCAGCCTTCTGGGTGGCTAGCTAGGCAGGACTTAAGGTGGCTGGAGCTGCCAGGCTGGTCACCTCTGGAATTTCAGTGCATTTTCTACATCATCTGCCATGATGTTGAAAAGTTGGGAAACACACCAATGGGACAGGCATGTAATAATTGGGTGCATGTACATTTTAACACTGAAAATAAAAAAAATCCTGCCAGGTGATACCTCTGTTAGTAATTCTTAAGGAGCAGCAGTGGTTTGTTTATACATGTTTGTTTATTTCACACTTTTCCTCAGCATTTTACCCTGCTGTGCCTCCCTCCTCCCCACCACACACTCATGCAAGGGCACGTCACTGATTGGAGTGAGCCGGTTCCCTCAGGTGCAGTGGCCTGCAGAAATGGTGAATGTGGCTCCATGAGGCTCTGCACCTGAGGCCGAGGAGGGGGCTTGGGATGTCTCAGCCCTGCTCTCGCCAGAGGTTTGACCTCTCGGCCCGTCAGAGGTGGAAGCAGGAAAGGGCCAGCAGTGGCGCAGCACACAGTGCTGATTAGCTCCTGTGCGGCCACCCAGTACAGGCTCCTTGCTGCGTTTTAACCTGGTCCACTCGAAAAACATTTTCCAGATAAAAACGGAAAGAACTCTAAAAATGTGTAGGTATACCTTCTCAAAGTTAAATGTCAAGATGTAGAACTAGTGTGTTATTTTCTCTATACAGATTATGATGCTGTTTCAGTGAAGGAGTTAATTGAACTGATTAGTACATAGATATAATGAGAAAAATATTAAAAGGATAGTCATTCTAAAAGGAGGAAATGAAGACAATTACAAGTCTTTACCTTCTTGCACATGTTAAAATGAACTAAATGTATGATTCATTTATTAAACAAACTCTGAATTCCAGCTGTGAGTAGAGGCAGACGGTACAGCAGAGAATGTACAGGTAGAAACCACTCCCACTCTTCTAAGGGGGGCCAGGGAGGGAAGGGACAGGGAGACAAAAGTTGGTAAATGTGGGAGAAAAAATAAAACAGGAGATAAGATGTTGAATTGCGGTGAAGGAAATGGTGACGTTGCTTTGACGGAGACAGGAGCTCAGGGTAGGCTCTATTTGAGTTAAAGACTGGAAGTAAGCAGGGAACAAAGACTAAGGGAAGAAAAAACTGGAGAGCAGCCAGCAGCACACAGGTCTCTGCGGAGAGTGCTGGTGCGGTCAAGGGACTGTGGTAAGAAGGCCAGTGTGGTGGCATTGATGTCAGTGGGGGAGAGTACTAAAAAACAGGGTCAGAAAAGTCGCGGATGGGCCGGCCCGGTGGCGCACTTGATAGTGCGCCGCTTGGGAAGCGCGGCGGCGCTCCCGCCCGAGGGTTCGGATCCCACATATAGACCGGTTCCTGCTCACTGGCTGAGCGAGGCGCGGGAGCAACGCCGAGGGTTGCGATCCCGTTGCCGGTCCCCGGTTCGGTACGGGGGCAACACT